TAAAAATTTAAAAAATGTAAATAAAAATTTATTTGGTAAATTTTTGATTTACAAATCAGTGATCTCGGTTTATAAATTTGGCCAAAAAATGTAAATTCAAAAAATGTGCTTCCGTTTTGAGTTTTGAGTTTTTTTTTTTTTTACCACCCGCCACCATTTTCCACCACCGTCTTCCGCTACCACCACTCACCCCCCACAACTAGGGGTGAGCATGGTCCGGATTGGACCGGATTGGAGTAAAACCAGAACCAATCCGTTATCTACGGATCCTGAAAAATTGGAACCAATCCAATCCGTTTAAATCGTGGAACCAATCCGAACCAATCCATTTAAATACGGATTGGATCGGTTTAGGACCACGGATTTATATAATTAAATAACAAAAATATATATATAACACTTTATTTTCATAAAAATATAAATATAGCACAATATTAGTTTCACAATAACAACATGTCTTTTCATAATAGCGACAAACTGTTCTAGAATTTAAACAACCATAAAGAAACTAGTTCCACCATAAGTATTTAAACCATTACAAATTAACACTAAAAACTAGCAAACAAAAGTAATAAAAGAAAATACTATGCAAGTTTAGGTTTGGATTTAAGTTTTATATGAAATAAGAGAAGATACTATGTAGGAGGGTGTATAATAAAAATATAAACTATTTGTATACGGTCCGGATTGGTTCCAATCCGGAACCGTGGGATTCAATCTGGAACCGATTCGTGAACTACGGATTTTTAATTTTTCAATCCGGAACTGAACCATGGATTCAAAAAACCAATCCAAACCTACTGGATTGGACTGGACTGGATCGGATTACGGATTTCATGGATTCCTTGCTCAACCCTAATCCACCCGCCACCTACCTGCCACCACCACCCACTCGCTACCACCTGCCATCGTCACCCACTCACCCACCCATCACTACCACCCGCCACCTACCCGCCACCACCACTCACCCGCCACCACCCGCCATCCGCCACCCACCTGCCATCACCACCCACCACCGTCACCCACGCACCCACCACCACCACCCACCCACTACCACCCACCACCAGCAGCTACCCACCACCCACCGTCACCACTTTCTGCCACCGTCTTCCACCGCCACTTGCTACCACTTGCTATTTCTCACTATTTTTTATATTTTTAAATTTTTTTTAACATTTTGTCAATTACCAAACGCGTTTGTAGTTTATGTTTTTCTAAAAATAAACAAAAAATAGGCAAAAACCAGTTTATAAAATTTTTGTAAATATAAACTGAAAACGTAAACGTTACCAAACAGACCCTTACAATTTGAGTTTTGCTTCTCTCATGTTGTTATTTTAATTTGAAAGAACGTTTGTATTTGGTAGGCTCATTTTGGAATTGATTCTGGTGATCTGAACCGTTCATTTTTTTTTAGATTTGTTGAATAGAATATTTATACAAAAAATTAAAATGATTTGGCATCAATAATTATATGTTTGGATCATATTTATTTTTAAAAAATGGACGACAAATATAATTTTAAGAATAAATATCTATTTTTTGTGATACAAATTTGATTCAAACATATAGTTATATATCTGATCATTTTGATTTTTTGGATAAATATTCTACTCAATAAATCTTGAAATATGAACGATTCAGATTATCAAAACAAAACATGTGGTGGGCTTCACAAGCGCCTCAAGTTCTCTCATGTTGAGATGTCAATATGAGAGAAACTTTCCCCTTATAATTTTTACTAATTTGAGGGTTGTTTTGGAAACTAACTATTTTAGTTAATTTTTTAATTTTTTACAAAAAAGATATGTAAAAAAGTAAAGAGAATAGTTGACTTTTTAGTAGTGATTTTTTTTTATAAGTCCCATTTGGCAACACCAAAATAAGCAACTTATTGACTTATTTAGATTCCATCACCTTTCTATTTTTTTAATACCTCTTTTCCTAATAAACCAAAAAAGCTAAAAACTAAAAAAAACAAAAAAAAAACAAAAAAAACGTACACAAAGCAAGGTACTTCCTATACTAATAACAAAATTAAATTGGCTCATAATCAAAATATCATAACAGTCGCATACTCAAAATCACTATCACTCCGATTCGTAGCAAAGCACTACAAAGCCGTGTAGGGCTAGTTTGGCATGTACTAAATAAGTCAAAAAGTCAAAAAGTCACTATCTTATTTAAGTCACATCATCATATTTAAATCACATCACCTCTCTAACACATCACATCAAACCCAACCCAAACTCAATCCAAACCCACCAATAAGTCAAAAAGTACACTTTTTTAGGACATCCCAAACCAACCCAGTAAGGCCACTAAAATTCTAACATCACAAAAGTCTCCTAATCAAAATCTTTTAAATCCTAACCAAAAATACGGCAAAAATCCCATAACCAATTACCATAATTGTCATCACCAAATTGATCACAAAATCTTATGTATCTAATTACTTAAATGAATCATAATCAAAAAACAATTGCTCATAACTATGGTATAACCTTTGAATTTTTTTAGTTATTGGAGTGCTTCTAAAAAATAAATAAATAAACACAGATTATATTTTTTCCACATGAGTTTGTCTTATCATATTATTTTAATAAAATTGTTTCAAGTGCCAAAATTTTATTATTATATGTTAGTATATGATTTTTTTTTTTATAAATACAATTTATATAACACTTTTTTCTCAAAAATATTTATCAACATTCTTATCGTTATGAGAGCACGATTTTCAATAAATAACTCATTATTAGAGTAGGTAGGGGTGGGCAACGGTTTATCCGAACCATTCAAACCGCCCAATCCGCCCAACCCGCATATAAATGGGCGGTTTCGCAAACATAATGCGGGCGGATGCGGTTTGAAATATGACAAATTTGCGGGTTGCGGGCGGGTCGCGGTTTAAACCCGCAACCCGCAAAAACCGCCCGCACTTTAATTATTATTATTATTATTATTTTTTATATACCAACTTTATAACTTTAACAAGAGCACCATTATGTTCTCTATGACACTAGGATACTTATTTTTAAGTATTTCTCAACGTTTTTAATGTCGTAGAATTATCAAGTCCTAAACTTGGTTTCTTTTATGATTTTCATTGGTGACTCATCTACTTTTTCCTAATAAAATTTTCCTTCTGGTGGTCAATGGAGTTTTTAGTTTGATTATTGATTACTAAACTAGCAATTCTAATTGAGTACAACCTTTAATGCATTGATATACATTTTTTCATGGCAAAAATGCTAGTGTAGGGTCTTTTTGTTTTGGGTACTTTCATTTAATGCATTGATATTCAATTTTTATTTGTAAACTCATCAAAAAATTATTATCACAAATAAATAAAATGAATCTGATGCCTAAATTCGCTGGGGAAAAAAAATTTGAAAATTAATTTTTAAAGAAAAAAGTGTAAACCGCAAATCGCCCGCAACCGCCCGCACACTTGTAAACCCTATCCGCACAAACCGCAAACTGCACTGCGGGCGGTTGCGGGTTGACTTTTTTCCAAACCGCATAGATGTGGGCGGGTCAAAACCGAACCGCAAACCGCACAAAACTGATCCGCGAACACCCCTAAGAGTAGGTACGTGTGGTGAGATGGTTCCCCAAAAAAAAAAATGGTGTGGAGAGAATATTTTAGGTGTACTTTATTTATTTATTTATTTATTATTATTATTTTGGTACATAATTTTGGTGTGGATCATGCTTAAGAATTCGTAAACACTATGCTCAAATTTATTTATGATATTGTAGACGGTTATATGTCAGATTACTCATTTGCCAAGGACTCAATTAGCTTTCACTCAATTTCTTAGGTTAGTGTGAGTAAATTTGTTTGAGAGATTTGTAGCATTAAAAGCACTTGGATTAGGTTTGTTTGTCACATTTAATTAGATGTAATTATAAACACGATAAGATAATATTGAGTGATGAAATAACTGGTATGATAGTATTATACTGGCTTTATAAGATTAATTATGTTTGTTTTTATACATTAATGTAGTAATATTGTTAGCAGTGATTAAATTTATGAAATTATATAAAAATCATCATTATATAAAATGTGATATTATTTTTGTGAAGTAAATTACAAAATAGTATTTTCAATCATGGGACATGGAATTGCTAATCTCTTCATGGAAGAGTCTTTATTGTGTCGATTATTAATCCCATGACATTTTTTCGAAACAAAAATTAATCTTATCCACTAATCCAATCCCCCTCTCCAAATCTCTAGTTAGGCCTCGTTTGGCAAGAGGCTATTTTAGCCAATTAGCCAAAAAGTTACTAAATTAGCCAAAAAGCCAACAACTCATACCAAAAAGTCAAAGATTCTCTTTTCTCTCTACTTTTTGCACATCTTTTCGTAATTAGCCAAAATGTCATCCCAAACATACAAGTTTTTTTTACCTACCTTTTTAGCCAAATAGCCAAAAAGTTACTAAATTAGCCTGTTCCCAAACGAGGCCTTAGTGTTTGGAGTTTGCTTTTTTGTTATTTTTTTTTTCATCTTTAGTATTTTGTTTTTTAAATCAAAAAAATTTAGGCATTTAGATTCTAATCGAATAGATAAATTGAAAAAGTAAAATATTTTTAAAAAAAGTTCGAAGGACAAAAAAAAAATCCAAAATACTTATTTTTTTAACTTATAATTTTTTTTAAAAAAAATTTTAGATTCACCTACTCAATAGATGGACCAGAAAATAGAAAAAAAAAAAAAATGGCATAATTTCTTTGAAAAATAATTATAAAAAAAAAGTGACCCATCTTAGATCTGGTAGCATGGTCTTTACTCGTAATTTACATCAACATTCCAGGCATTTTCAACGATGACATCTATATATATAGCCCCTACACAAAAACAATGTACCCAGCTCTCAATTCATTGCTCACCCCATACCATACAACACCACACCACACTCACTCAATTCCAACTTAAATTGCCATCTCTATCTGGTAGCATGGTCTTTACTCGTAATTTACATCAACATTCCAGGCATTTTCAACGATGACATCTATATATATAGCCCCTACACAAAAACAATGTACCCAGCTCTCAATTCATTGCTCACCCCATACCATACAACACCACACCACACTCACTCAATTCCAACCAGCTGCAACCATGGCCATGGCTTTCAAAATGGTACACGCATCAAGCTTTCATCTTTCAGTATCTCTCTATTTGTTCAGATGAAATCTCATTTTCATTCTTCTTATCGATCAATTGATACAATTATTGTAACATGTTTTGATTATATACGAACAGTGAACTTCTAATCACCATGACATGATACAAAATGTCATAATTACAGTTATGAATATCTTGTCTCATATCGATTATTTTGGTGATTTAGAATTTCAGTGTTCGTAACACTAAACTGATCTAATATATATATATATATATATGATTGTATAGGCGACGACGGGAATGTGGGTGACGGAGGAGTGCAAGAACTCGTTTATGGAGATGAAATGGAAGAAGGTGCACAAGTACATAGTGTTCAAGATCGACGAAGGATCTCGATTGGTGACCGTCGATAAGGTGGGCGGGCCCGGCGAAAGTTACGATGATCTCACCGCATCTTTGCCGACAGACGATTGCCGATATGCCGTGTTTGATTTCGATTTTGTCACCGTCGATAATTGCCGGAAAAGCAAGATCTTCTTTATTGCGTGGTCCGTCATACTCTTCTTTAACTCACCAGCCTGTCATTTCTTTTTTAATCATTCTGAATCATGGCTGGTCTTGTCCTTGTTCATGTCAAAATTTAGATCACCAACAGGGCTAATATGTAATTCAAAACACATACTAATATTTTATTTACAATGATAAAATAAATTAGTCAATTACACTCCCTTCCCTTAAAATTTAGAGAAATTATAGTCAATTCTATATATTTTTTTATATAATTACACTAATATAAATCTTTTAGTATGATTAAAGCGACCAAAATTAATACCAATAATGAATAGACATAGGCTTCGTTTAGGATGTGGGTTGACTTTTTAGTTTTTTAGTTTTTTTTGGCTATTTTAATCTGGGTTAAAAAGCTTAGTTTGGAAAGGATTTTTTGGTTTTTTTTGACTTTTTTATGAGAGAAGAGTGTAATAATTATGAGTTGGATGTGATGTTTTGTTTGTTGTGATTAAAATAGTCTATTTTGTCTTTTGTGGCTAAAATAGCCAAAAAAAACCCATAAACTAACTTGCCAAACGGAGGCATTGAAATAAACAAAAAATAAATTTATATTTTAATACATTTTTTATGTAACTAATGAATTAATTGTCTAAGTATTGTGTGAATTAAAATTTAAAGAGAAATTAATATAATTATATTAAAAAGATTAGATTAGTTATATTTTATTCAAATTTTAAGAGAGGGCAAGTATTATTTATCAAAAATTGTGTCAGTAACGGTACTGAATTCAATTCAAGCAGAAAGGCAAAGGTATTGCAATTTATACAAGTACCATCTAATATAATATGTTGTATTAAACGTACCAATAAAGATAGAGTCTGAAAATGAAAAGTAGGATTAAAAAAGTGACTACTCGTGTATTTTTTATTTTTTATGTTTTTTAAATTCTCGAGTAAATTGGCTTTAATTATACCACTATATGTTTAAACAATTAATTTTCACTTTAGATTGTAAAATGAATTACGTTGTTTTGGGGAGTTGATAAAAAGTTGATTTTTGGCTTTTTATTAAGTTTTTTGGCTTTTTTGGAAGTGATTTGAAAAGTTGGTAAAAAGCTGGCTTTTGCTTTTTAGTTTAATATTTATTTATAGTGTCAAATCAAATTAAAATGACCAAAATACCCTTACCCAACATAAGAGATTTATTTTTTTATTTTTTTTTCATAGGCCCTAATTTGTAATTTTACGGCTGCGTTTTTGGCACTTGCCAAATGGCTTTTCTGGCGTTTTTGGCAGCCACGTTTTTGGACATTTTATCCAAAAACGTGACTTTTTACCATGTTTCCAAAATGGCACTCAAATTTGACTCTTTAAAATTTTATTTGAGATTGATTTGTTAAGTAAATAAGTTAAATTTGAATATTTTTTAAAAACTTTTGTTAAACTCCTAAGGTAAGTTTCAATATATTTTTTTGTTCATCTCGATTATGTACCTTATAAAAAATCAAATTACACGTTCAATTTATAATCAACTAAATTAAAATTTATTTAAGATTTACTCAAAAGAAAAATGTTTGGGGGCCCTAATTCTGTGGCTCAAATGTGGCTCAAATGTGGCTCAAATGGCCAAAACGACGTCGTTTTAGCCATTTTGATGTTGTTTTGTACTCAAAACGACGTCATTTTGGCCATTTGAGCCACATTTGAGCCACAGAATTTGGGCCCTCTACCATTGTTCTACTCAAAAACTAATCAAAATAACTTTCCCACCACAAACATCCAATTTGAATCCAATCATACAAGTTAAATCATGAAAATGATGATTAATTAATGGTTTGATTGGATTGTAATTTTTTTTTTTTTTTTTTTTTGACAGGGCTCCAACGGCATCAAGAATAAGAGCAAAAGTGCTATATGCAACCTCAAAAGATGGGTTGAGGAGGGTGCTAGATGGCATCCACTATGAAGTCCAAGCCACCGACCCAACTGAGATGGGCATTGATGTCATTAAGGATAGAGCCCAATAGCTCTAACATGCTTTTGGATTTACTTGCTTATCTTACTCTCTTATTTATGATCTATCTAATAACACCAGTTAGTGGTGCTCTCTTCCTGTTAGTTTTCTTTTTCTTTTGGGTTAAATGCATTGAGATCCCTTTAATTATTAGTGAATATCACTTTATTTCTTTATCTATAAATTCGTACATATTGATCTCGTAAATTATAAAAATATATTACTTTCACTGCCTGCAAACTCTTATAAAAATAGTGTATTTGTACAATTTTCATAATTGATGGGATCAAAATGTAAGGTTCATAGATGGGAAGATAAAGTAATATTCGCTAATAGTTGAGGGGCCTTGGTGTAAATAACTTCTTTTTTTTTTTTAATTTTCTAATTTTTGGTACCGGTGTAAGATGATCATCTAATCGTCTAATTTGTAATAATTATCATCTTCTATGTGCTAATTAAACGACAAAGTGCCTTTAATATTTATCACTTTAATTTTGAAAACCTTTATCAATCTCTTTAATTACATAAAGAAGAAAGAGACATTAATGTCACTTTCTAATACATCACGGGCTTAATTAAATAAGATGAGCTGGAATGGCATTAACACTTTTGATTTTGTATTAATTATTAATCATTGGATCTTTGTATGGGTTTATCAACTTGCACTCGTAAGTTACTCACGAGAGTTTGTCAATGTTTAGGGAAATGCCAGCATTATTAATATCGAAAATGTGATACAAATATTTTGAAAAATTATAAAATGTATTTTTAAATTCAAAAAAGTATTTTGAATTTAATGATAACAGTTTAGAAATTTATCCATTTTTATGTTTTTTGTAGCCCAAAAATATCTGTTAACAAAATTTGTGTTAATATTATGCTCTTATTAATTCTTGTTGTACATCAGGATTGTATCAAACAATGAGAAGGGTAGAATAGTCATAAGCCATCTTTACAAGCCATGATATTTTGGAATCACTATGTGAACTCAACTATCAATTCTATAACAATAGGCTTATGTGAACAAGTGTTATAAAAACATTGGTTAACAAAACATTCAGCTGTTTTGAAAACACTCTTTAATAAGACCCAAATAGAAACACCTAAATGTTCTTTTGCCCATTTTACTAGTAAATAAATAATCAAGTTTTAGTCGTTGTACGGGGAGGAAATAATTCTCCTCGTATAATCCTGTTGACCAAGTCCGCGTTCCTCCGTACGACGTCGCTTTATCACCTGAAAACACAAACGTGAGCTAGCCGGCGGGTGTGTGCCGGAAACCTCTCCGATGCCTAAGTCAGTAAGCTTGACAAATAGACAAAGTTTTATGCTCTCAGAAAGAATTGAGTTCAATTACCTCCTCCAAGGTGATGCTTGTGGGCTTTTATAAGTTTTCCGTGGCACAATCCTAGTAGGACTTGTACTTCTCCATGCAGAGTCCTCATAGGATTCATTCTCCTAAGGATAATGTTTATCCTTTTACATCCTCCCCCACTGCTTAAACCAAGTGGGATGGTTTTCTCCATGGCCGAATTACTATTTGACCGAAGTAACATTTAGCTATGCCGAGCCACAAAGTGGGCCGTACTAACAGTAGTTTGGTTCTTCTTCATGCTACACCATGTCTCGGTTCTCTCATACACGAACCGCGGTATGCTTGGACCGAACTACTGAGTAGCTACATTCCGACCGAACTACCGAAGCAGCTTTACGATTCCTTAGCCGAAGTAACTTTATCTCTTTAGACCGTAGTAAGTCAACATCTCCTCAGAACCGGAATAAATCTATCGTTCTTGAACCGGAGTAACTTTAACAGCTTGGGCCGGAGTATCTTTTATCCCTCCTGGGCCGGAATAACCTTGCGGCCTTTTTACCAAGTCCTTGATGCTTTGGGCCACGAAGCCCACCACATAGCTTGGCCCAATTTTTACCAAAAATTACCCTCTCAGTCGTGATTATATTTTAATTTTAAATAGTAAATATTAATTTTAGTCAAATAATCAATAATAAATTGGTATAATGATTTAACATGCAAAAAAAAATCACAATTTGAGCACATTTAATTGTCATAAAAAGCCACGAGTCAAAATCACAAAACAATCCACTAAGAAGACAAATAAAAAAAATTATACACGAGTACCCTCAATTACCTTGTGAATCTATGCCTGAATTGAACCAAACTCAATGTGCCCCTTCCACCACCGTCTTCACCTCGGAATTGCTTTGTCCAATGTTGAATCCACAATGCCAATGTTGAATTTGTTAGAACAATCTTCTGTGTACAATAAATAAATTGAAACTAAAACAAATAAATAAAATAAATTACGTACCGAATTTATTTTTACCGAACCGAATGAATAATTAAAGATCAAGTCGAGTGTGTGACACTCTGTCCTTAAGACAGATTCACTCCGCTACGGTGCTTAAGGTTAAGTGGCGTCTATCTCCCATGATACAATGATCTTCACAAATTATAGTAGCACTCCAAACAACTTGTTCGGCGAATAAAAACCTGTGTTCTTACTCTATGATTTTTTCCTAAATTAATATGAAGATTATATATGCAATGGAACAAAATCTGGACAGCAAAATGAAAATTTCATTTTGTTTCTGGATCCAAAAAACTGCTGGAACAGCCTGTAGACACTCCATTTTTGATTGCCCTTAAGACTTAGACGCCATAGGTTGATCATTCGATGATGAAGGCTATGCTATGCAAAGGCTCGATTTTTTCGGCAAGAGGAGCTTCAAATCCCAACCTTACACCCCATTTTGGACCAAAACTATTTTGACCAAAATTATTTTAGAGCTTAAAACCTTCTCTTTCAAAACATTTTGTGAAAATGTTTATGAGATGTTCCGAGGCTCGCATTTCGATAAAAATTGCGCTTTTCGGTAAATCGAGCAAGGATAAAATGAAAATAAATGAAAGAGAGGTGAACTCTTTGAAAATTCTTTCAAAACACCTTATTTAAAGGTTTGGAGTTCAAGAAAATTGGAGGAGAGAGAAGAAACCTAATTGGGGGAGAAGTTGGGCATGAACCATTAAGACAAAACCAGGCAGCCTTCACTAAATCAGGTCTATCCTTTTGTACACTTGGACTTAAGTTGTGAGGCCACCACCATTGGAAAGAATACTTCTGGGGCTTCATTTTACACTCAAGAATCTCCTAAAGCCGAGTCCGGATGAAAGAGATATGGTTGTTGGAAGTTAGGCATCAATCCGATTGAGCTGGAAATGAGCAACCTTCACTAAAATAGAAATATTTTTTTGCACACTTGGAATTTTGATGTGAGGTTGCACCATTGGAAAGACGACTTCTGGGGCTTTAATTTAGACTCAAGAATGACCTACAAAGGAGTCCAAATGAAGAAAATATGCCCGTTTGAAGTTGGGTCTGGAAGTAGATTTTTTATGGCCGACCAGCTATCATTGGTGGCTGACCAGCCACCAATGAAACATGTCGACCACTGGTGAAAAAAGCTCAGATTTTGCAGATATTTTCCTCCAATTGTCTCCCACAAGCTCCAGCTGTCTGTTTTGTTGATATTTTTGACATGAGCTCTCATATTTCTATATATAGAAGGCATTCTCTATTGTTTTCAAGGTTGGAAAAATTTTGGGAGTCTCTCTACAATTTTCTCTCTCTAGACTTCTCTCTCTTTTGAGCTTTTGTGCTTAAAAGCTTGCATGCTTCAAACTTGCATGCTTCAAACTTTAACCTATCAACCCTTAACCAAAGTGGTTGGTCTTTGGGCTGAGGTTGTTTGAATCTCTCTTGGAACTCCATAAGTGGGTTTTGGCTTGAATTGTGGCCTAGAATCACTCTTCCCTTTAAGAGGTATAACCTTTACCTTTTAAAACATGTTTGTTTTGCCATCTTTTTGTACTGTTTTGGGGTTGGTTTTGAACTGAAAAACCTCTGTTTTTATGACCTAAAAGTGGTAGTTTGAGCCCTTTTGAGTTAAGGGGTTGTCCATCCCTTTTGCTTCTTAACTTATTAAGCTTTTGTGTCATCTTTTCATCACTTTCAAAACAACTTTTTTGGGCCTTTTAACCACTGAATTTCAGAGGTTTTTCAATGATAAAAACCTTGTTTTGAAGTCCAAAATTGGAGGGGGTAGCCTGTCACGACCCAAACCTGTCCCTAAAAGTTTGGTCCATGATCGGCATGTACATAGGCCTTAGAACAAAATTTCATAATAATAATATTGAAATACGGGGCCACAAGTGGAAGCAAATGCCAATACAAAGATAACGTCCATTGAGCCTGTGCATACATAATGAACTAAATAAATTTAAGCCTTTAATTACACTTCCATATAATATATACAATCACAGAATTTAGATAGATCTCACACACAAACACATAAGACTCAATAAATTACATAGTTAAATTGCATAATTCCCAATACAAGATCAAGGCCTCAACACGGAGGCGTACCCCAGGCAGTTTGGTACACAGGTGGACCTTAAGACAACTCTAGTGTCGATCCCAAATAGCTCACCTACATAAATAGATATAAAGATAAGTGAGCAAGGCTCAGTGAATAATAGCAATGTAAGGAGGTTAGTTGAATGAGCAAAACCTTGAAAATTACAAATAGACATATATCAAACTGTATACAGGTCTTATCCATAGCCACATTTCAAAACAGCCTTAGGCCCACATGTAATACAGAACGGCCTCAGGCCCATATGTAATATACAACGGCCTCAGGCCCAACAGATTATACAGAATAGTCTCAGATTCATAAGAATACCATTACACAATAGTGCACATAAATTTCCCCATGGTTTATTACAAATTGACATAGTTGTCTTGCGAATAACAGAACATTAATAATAACTATTAACAGAAGGCACATGTATCACTACAGTACTATTAATAAGGACAGAAAAATTCACATCATAATGGCCTCGAGCCCACTTCTATTAATAGGGACAGAATGACCTTTGGTCCATATCAATGCCATTATTCAATCATATCTATTAATTTAATCAAAGCACAATATCAATGGAATAGGCCATTCACAAATAACAACACATAAACCATAATCACAGGAAGTAAGTGAAACATAACGTTACACTACTATTACTCACAGTGATTGGCTTCCGGTAGTAATGGGACGATGTCCTCGTCTCAACCTACAAACACAATGCACAATACATAATATGAGATTATAACCGATCCTTTATTTATTCTCTTTAACCAATTAATCAATTAGCCAAGGTGGTACCAAGCACATTATTCTTTAATAAGTTATAATCCATGTCTTAGAAAATAAGAGGAATTGATAGGAAAATGGGTCAGACGAAGAAATGGTACAAAATCGGTAGACAGAAAGTGAGCAAGTCTCACTAATTTGGGCATATCTAATTCTGTATTTAGAATTTGGGAGTAAGACCATTGCCATAGGAAACTAGACT